TTGGAGATCAGTTTCATTGGCCTGCAAACCAGACTGCAGTAGATTGAGAAGTGGGTGAAAAGGGAGTATGAAGATTTGTAGAGATGGGAAAGAGAGAAGAGCAATAGTTTGTGGGCAAAGTGGTCAAGAAACTTATTTTACAATGGGAGAGACACCTCATCTGAACACCTTTGTAGCATAAGGAAGAAGATGGAATCAATGGCAAAGTGAATTAAGGACATAAGCACGAAGGAAATAATCAATGTTGCAAGGTTCCGGGGGTGGGGGTGGGGGGAATGGAGTCAAGACCACACATGAATGGCTTAGTCTTGGAGAGGAGTCTTCCTCTGAAACATCAGAGAAAGAAAAATATTTAGAAGAAGGCTCTTGAGGAGAAAGTTGAGGGCATTCATACCAGAGTTTTTTTTCCCAGTTAAGTGGAAGATAAATCTTCTGAAAGTGAAGAAGCATAAGGAACAGTTGGGAGCTTTACGGAGAATGGCAAAGTTTAGAAATGGGGAGATAAGACTTGTTTAGAAATATGCAAAAACGTACTGAGCTTTGCCATCACAGCTGAAGTTCTTCTTTTTTTAAATCTATGTATAATAGAGCCAGCTGTCATAGTTTTTATTGGGAGCTTGAGGACAGAGTTGGAAAAATGAATGATTTAGCTGACTCAGAATTGAGCAGAAGATCAAGATGGGAGGAATTAAGAATGTTTTAAGAGTGTAGTTGAAATGATGGGCAATCTTCAGACCCGATCATGTAAGAAAATAAGAGAAATTAGGTGGTGCCCCATTTATTTGGAGGACAGGAGGAAGCCACAGATTGTGCTGAAGGTAAAGAAAAGCTTGGTGAGAAGTATAAAAGGATGAAGAATAATGACCAGAGAGAGGAAGTTGTGCTATTAATACAGTAATTGGCAAAGTGAAGTGACACTCATTCTGAAGAAAATCATAAAGCAAAATTTCAGAAGGTAAAAGCCCAAGGCAACTGGATATAATCACATACAGCAACCTGGCTTTACCGTGGCATCACAAAATGTCCACCAAGGTATAATGATAGACAATATAAATAGCATCTAGAGTCTCTCATGAGACTGTGGGTAGCAGCAGATCTTAAAAGACAAGCAGAGTGAAGGCAAGACTGGGAGAGAAAGGGAAAAGAACAGATTTGGGTGTCCACAAGAAGCTGACTCTCATTTCTATCACTGTTATTCTAGTCACCATTTCAGCTTCTTTTGTATTTTATTGTCTTCACTGTTACTGTTTTTAAAAATCAAAGAAATTGTCCTGATTTCTACACAAAGAGTTTGATATGTGGCATGTCAAGTGTTTATTTATACTTTCAGTGTAGCTGACCCAATGACTAAGCAGTTGCTTTATTTTTCCATTAGAAGCTATTCAACCCCAAATAAAGCCTGACCACTGATTTTTAAATGAAGTGATTTGGGGAGTCAAATTTGCTTTCCTTTGAGGTAAATTTGAAATTACTGAAGCAAATTCTAGAGACATTTTTATTGTTGTTAATTTGATCATTTTCATCTTTAGTTTCTTAATTTACCTTAGTATGACATTATTTTAATTCATGCACGTTTAAAATCTCCAACTTAGAAAATATTTAAGAATAGATTTGAATCTGATACAAACCTAACTTGTTAGACTAGTTAGATTTACAAGTCATACTTCTACAACCCAAGTGTCAATCAACTGATGAATGGATAAAGCAGATGTGGTATATATACATGATGGTATATTACTCAGCCATCAAAAAGAATGAAATCTTACCATCTGCAAAATCGTGGATGGAGCTAGAGAGTATTATACCAAGCAAAATAAGTCAGTCACAGAAAGACAAATACCATATGATTTCACTCATATGTGGAATTTAAGAAACAAAACAAATGAGCTATTAACTATATAGAGAACAAACTAAGAGATGCTGGAGGAGAGCTGGGTGGGGGATGGGTTAAATGGGTGATAGGGATTAAGGAGGCCACTTGTGATGAGCACTGGGTATTATATGTAGGGGATGAACCACGAAATTCTACTCCTGAAACCAATATTACATTGTATGTTAACTAACTAGAATTTAAATAAAAACGTGAAACAAACAAAAAAGAGTCACATGCTCTACTCACTGAGCCAGCCAGTGCCCCATTCACTCTCATTCTTTGAAATTCTTCTCTGCATATTGTTATTACTATCCTGATTCTAACCTCATTTGCTTTCCTCCCTATAGTAGGGCTCACAGTAGATTATTTCAGTTGCCCTTTAACCTGCCTCTTCAATCTCAAACTTCTTTTTCTTAGGCTCTTTTAGTATTTCCTCTGACTTCATTCATTATTATTATGCTTTACAATGAATATTTATTCATCTTTACCTATATATTTATGCATCTGTTGTTCTCTATTCCATTCTGCTCTTACCTTTGTTTATTTTACATACATATTGCAGGTCTACTGGTAATGAATTGTCTGCTGCTGTTTGTTGATTTATGACATCTTTGTTTTCTTTTCATTTTATAAGGATATTTTTGCTGGGTACAGAATTACAGGTTAGCAGCCATTTTCCCTTGGCACTTTAAAGATTCAAGGCTAGAGTCTATACCTGGTCTAGCCCTGATGTTAGGGTGTTTTGAGACTCTAAGATATTTACAGGTGCTTCCCTAATTTCAGGTCCTGAACTATAATCCTTGTCCTCTCAGTATTGAGAAACTTCTAAAAATCCCAATTATAGGTAGTTATAAGGACTTTGACTGTTACTGTGTGTGAGAGAAGTCACTGAAGAATTGAGCAGAAGAGTGATAGGCAAAAGGCCTTCTCTGTTTGCTGTAGTAAGAAAAGATGGTAAGAAAGCAAAGAGGAACCCTTGAGGACGAGTTAAGAGGCTATTGCACAAAAGCAGGTGAGAGATGAAGGTGGCACATAATTTCTTATCTGGCTATTGAAATAAATTCCAAACTACCTCAAATCTTGACCTACTCGAAACTTTTCTCTTTCCTGATGCCAAAGTGATTTATTTCTAAGATTCATATCCAAAGATGTCACTCCTCAGAGAGACCTCACTATTTATCTTTAAGTAAAAATTCAAATTCTTCACCAAGGGACAAAAGGTCATATGCATGTTCTGGCTTCTGCCTCCCTTTATAGGATCCTTTCTTACTCTACCTCTTTCCTTTAGCCAGTGATATCTATTTGGAGCCTAGAATCTCTCCATAGGTCATAAAACTGCCCTAAGCCTTCATGCCTCGCCCCGTATTTTCCTTCTTCTTAAACCATCTTTCTCATCAACTCCCTTTTCTTGCCTGATTGACTCCCAACTCATCTTTAAAAATTCAGCTGAAGGATTAAGGATAAAAGAAGCTTATCTTCTCTTGGAAAAGTTTTGGAATCTTTTCCTTTCCCATTCCGAGACATAAGTGAGTCTTTTCTGTGGATTTAGTACAATTAATAAACATTTATGGCAACTTCTCTACGCCAAGAACAGTTTTAGGAGTTGAAGAATGACAAAAGAATAAGCTGCAGTATTTGCCCTCAAGGACCTTGTTCTAGAAGAGAAAATACATAATACATAACTTCATTTAGTGTGGTAGGGGTAACAGTAGAAAATGATCTTGGGAGGAGGGTGTGAGTGAAGGCTTCCTGGAGGAGGAAAAATCCATGTTGGTTTTTAAAGAATAAATCAGAGTTTATCAAGCAGACAAGGTGCATGGGGTAAGGTGAATAGCCAAGATTGAAGGAATAATATAGGCAATGATATGGAATGGTGAAACAACAAGGTTTAGAAAAATAACAGAAGAACTGGTATTTGAGTGTAAAATTTAAAAGGTGATTAATGGGATGTGAGTTTTAAAAGAATGGACAGGAAATCATGGATGATCTTATTTGCAGTGTGTACTTCTCTTGTACTTACCATACTGTATTGCAATGACCGATTTTTAACTCCATGTCACCAGGAATGGGCTCCTTCAGATTAGGTATTGGGTCTTAATCATTAATCTTTGCATATATAGCAACTATCCAAGTGTCTAAGACATAGTAGATACTCAGCAAATGCTTATGTTATTAATGTGGACCCTTTAAAACTTTTAAAAAGATTATTTTACAGAATACTATATCTATCTATCTATCTATCTATCTATCTATTGCCTGAGTTGAATCTGGACATTATCAGGTCCAAAACTAAAAAAATAAAATTAAAATTGAATACAATTAATTAGATATTGTTCATAAAACTACATTTAAATCTGATACACAGGGCATGACATTCAATATGTAATATTTTAAAAGTAAACTGTTATTAAATTACTTCTCAGATGTAAATAGCTATTATTTAGAGAAAAGACAAATGAGTAGAATGGAATAGACATTTACGCAGCTTTTTCTAGGAAGCTAGAAATTCCATGCGTATCTGTTTATCTCTCCACTCACTCCTACTTCCTTCTCATATCTCTCCCACAGCATTGGACATCAGATGGAGATATTTTTACAGCAGAAAGAGATAATTAGTAACAGTTTTAAGAACTCTGCAGCTCAGTTGGGTAGGGCAGGTAGTCTTTTGGGTCTCTATACTAGAAGACTGATAGCCAGTTTTTCAGCCCTAGTGTATTCTTGCCTCTTGTTTCCAAATGGGCATTTCAAACCATTTTGGGAGGTAGCACTGAAGTGTTAGAAATATTGTTAACATAAAGAGAAAAGGAGACCTATAACCTGGAATCAATCATAATAATACATGGAAGTAATCTGATAAAAAATTGGAATATCCAAATGATATGCTCTTGTGTAAGATCCACTGGCAAATTGACTAATTACTGCTGAAGAAATAGGAAAAGTAAAGAGAAGCCTTTTGAATAAACACACTGCTTTGACGTAAGTAGTTTTATGCATCTTTTCAAGAAAAAACATCACTTGAGCTTGTTTCCCTTCTCTTACCTTTTTTAAATGCCTTAAATGAGGAATCCACTCACCATTATGGTTTCTCCCAACATCCTCTCCTTTCTTTCTCCCCCTTCTCCCTTAGTATCTTTTTGCCACATACATTGCTCCTTCGGCTACTCTTGACATTGGACTCCAACAGGAAAAGAAAAAAGAAATCTATATGAAAATACAGCCACCATTTGAAGACCTTTTTGACAAAGCAGAAGAATATATCCTTCTCCTCCTTCTTGAGCCCTGGACAAAGATGGTAAAATTAGACCAAGTTGCTTTTGGAAAGGTACTGTGGCACTAAGACATGGTGTGTGACCATTCAGGTTTACTACAAAACTGATGATAAGTGACATTTTAACTTACAAGAGAAAAACTGAAAAAGGTCTCATATGGGCCAGGCACTCAGAGTTAAGATTTGGCAGGCTCAAAATTGAAGCTGTGAAAGTATTTATTAACTTCATTTTTTGCCAGTTTCTCTGTTGTCTCCTAACAAAAGACTAAAATCTTTGTCATCTTTGGTTCCCTGTACAAATATGTCAGCAGAGAGAAATCTGAGTTTTGGTTTCCTGTGAACCAACAAAATATGCCATGATAATGTACTGGCTTTGTCTCTTCTTGCCATTTCTTAGCAGTGGCCTTAATTTTGATTAATGGAAAAGGCCCATTTAATTTTATACTGAGTTATGGTAAATATTGCACCCATGGAAAATAGAAATGTTTTGTATGTATTGTGGAAAATACATTCTGTAACGTCAGTGTTGCTGTTTTAAGGTACCCCAGATGTTCATCAGGTCAGACTGATTGGATAGAAGTTTCAACATATCTTTTTTAATTCCAAATAAGTCTCAGTGCTTGAATATTTTCACTATTCTTATTGATGAGTGGAGGAAATTTCTTTCAATATTTATTTTGAGTTACAGATTCGAACAAGTAATGGGCATTTTTTCCATGAAGTCAATGCATGTACCCTCTACATCAGGTCACTCCCGGTGGAACTCTGCTGTCTTCGTATTGCTATTCTTTGTTCCTATCTGTTCAATGACCTCTTAGTCATGTCTTCTCCCAGAAAGAATAGGTTAGGTAAATTAAGATAAAATTAATACCAAAGCACCTTGGATAGAATTACCTTATTGGATTATGACTGAACAACTCTTAAGGCTTACTAAATTCAGTGATCAAAATTAAATTTTCCTTCCTGATTTCTCTTTGTCCTCAAAAATTAGCATTACATCTTCTCTACTACAAAAATACATCTATTACACTAGAAAAATTAGGCTATTGTATGAATTTTTAAAAAAATTCTCTCCAGTCATTATTTTAAATAAAATGTATGGCATGGAGGAAAATGGACCTGAGATAGGGTCCTGAGATGTTAAAAAAAAAAAAAAGATTTAGAATTATAACTAATGTCCCTAAATGAAAAAGTTTTGGCATTGGTAATGACTCTTATGTGTGGGAAAATTATATACTCTTTTTAATAATAAACTAGAAACTTCCTTAAATTCAGCTCAGAGGATTTCTCTAAAAGTCCAGTTGACTGGATTATGTAGACTCTTTCCCAAAAAGGATAATCAAAGCTAGTCATTAAATGTAGAAAGTTCTCAGTCTGCCAAACTGATTTTTTTCCCCGGAATAGAGAAATGGAGAATGAGATTGTTCTCCTTCCTATCTAAAACAGTACAATACATACTCTGCAGGCTGATACCTACGATGAGGTTAATCTGATGAATGACTCTCCCCTCTCTTGCTACAGCAACAAAACCTTAGCTCACAGACTATTAACAATGGATTGCGGTCATTTCTTGTTCTACTCTGGATTATTTGGTCCCTGAAGCTAGCAATGCCTGCCTTCGTGACTATTATCCTGTTATAATGAATAGAAAATGGCAGTGTGACCCAACATGTGTGCAGTGTTTGTTAGTTCACATGGGGTGTCCCGAAAGGAGGAATGATCTCTGGTGTCACTATATCATTACATAGCATGTGAAGTCTGAGTTTGCTGTAGTTAATATTTTTACGTTGCTCTTCCTGCTTTTGCCTCCAAACTAATTTACTTTATTGGCAAGTGTATTCATTTTTTTAGCCCACTGTTATTGGCAAATTGTGCATTCTTTCCCCCACTTTTTCATAATGTACATTCTATTGATGTTATGAGCTTTATTATTGTTTTATTAGGTGGGGCTGATGGAAGAAACTCGACAGCTAGATTCCACATACTTCAGAAAGCTACAGGCTTTGCATAAAGAGACGTTTTCCAAGAAAACTGAGGTAAGATAGCTCTCTACTTAGAAAAACCAACTTTCGGGGTGCCTGGGTGGCTCAGTCGTTAAGCGTCTGCCTTCGGCTCAGGTCATGATCCCAGGGTCCTGGGATTGAGCCCCGCATCGGGCTCTCTGCTCGGCGGGGAGCCTGCCTCTCCCTCTCCTACTCTGCCTGCTTGTGTTCCCTCTCTCACTGTCTCTCTCTGTCAAATAAATAAATAAAATCTTAAAAAAAAAAAAAAAAAGAAAAACCAACTTTTTATCCTGGAGGGATTACCACTGTATATATTGGCATGGGGTCGGGGGGCAGGGAAATCCTATCTTGAGGAGCTAATGTCCTGATAAAGTAGGGGATAGGCAGTTTCATTTTTCTGCTACTTCTTTGCCTAGCAGGCTGCCTTTGACAGGTGTCACTTTATGTTGACACATTTAACAACAAAGCCAGAACAAAGCAGACGAGGTAGCATAGGGAGTCAAGCCACTTGCCTGTCTTAGTTAAGAGCCTTCAAGCCACGTTATTCCTTGGAACGTTTCTGGTTATTTTCTGTGTGGCAGAAGCTCTCTTCATTGTCAATTCAAAAAAGAGTTACATGGAATTTTCCAAACAGAAAAGGAACTGTCGTGTGACAGCAATAGGCAAAACAATAAAGGAAAAAATATGGAAAGGGTTTGGGGGAGTCAGTAAAAAGATCATAGGATTGACTAGGATAGTAAAGTGTTATTTTGATTTATAAATTTGCAACTTTTGGATTAGCTACATAAACCATGGTAGGTCCTGAAAGCCATAAAATGAAATGTGTATATCTACATTACAAGTGACAGTTCATATTCATATTTATCAACATGGAGAATGCCCAGGACATATTATTATATAAAAATGTGGGCAACAAAAATACTGATATCATATAATCCTATTTATATACATATATTCATACATGTAAGATATCTAGATGTTCACCAAAATGTTGAAGACAGTTAGCTCTGAGTGGTAAGATTTCAAGTGATATATATTTTTTTCAGGTGATAGTTTTACTTTGTCCTTTGTGCCTATCTCAAATTTTTACTCTTTTACAATAAAATTTTACACAAACAGTAAAGTTGTTTTTTAAATGTAACCTTCATGACGGGGTGCCTGGGTGGCTCAGATAGTTAAATGTAATCTTCATGATAGTTGCCTTTTTAACAAAGAAATTCTTTATTTGAGAAACCACTAATTAGTATCTTGGAAAGACTATATAAAAAGCCAAAAAAGTAGCACATTTTATTGTATTTTAAACATAATGAAAATGTTCATAAACTTGTATTTTAAGTGTTTTAAACCTTATGAACATTTAAAATGTAGCATTTTAGTTGTATTTTAAGTTGTGTTTTAAAATTTACGAACTAAAATGTATAATTCTCCCCATAATCCTTCTCCATATTGGAAATTGATTTTTTAAATATTGGTGGTTTCTCTCATGGTCTGATGCTTTTCAAACACAAATAGAGGGATGAATTAATTATATAAGGTATTCCATAAGGAGAGGAAAGGTTTTTCAAAGAATAAGCTTCTCTAGCTCTTTGCCCTTAAATAGAGCTTATAAACTGCAAAACATCAAGTCTTAAAAACACCTAAAAATTAACTTTTATATGAAGAAGTTTACATGTAAAGGATGTACTATTAGAAAAGTATTTTGTTTTACTCTATAACTTTCAAAATTGTTATAAATAAAAGAACATTTTATGTTCATAATACATTGTTAAGAAAAAGAACTAAGTTACAAAACCATACATAGTTGTACAGTCCTATCTTGGTTTTTAATAATCTACATGTGTGTATGCAAAAAAGACTAGAAGATTTGTATTTGAAAATGTCAGCTATAGTTATCTCTGAGTGGGGTAGTAAGTAGTATGTATGCCTTTTGTTTTCTTATTACAAAAGATACATTACTCTTATACTAACAAAAATAAGAAAATTAAATATTTTATAAGCAAATATATAGTAAATGTTTACTAAGTGTTCCTAAAAAGAAGAGAATGAAACAGCAAGGAACAGAATAGAATTTGATAGGAGTTAGAGCCAGATTCTAGATTCTAGATTCTTCACCCACTTCTACCATTGCATTGTTAGATGGTGTTGACCTAATTATTCATTTTTATTTGTTTCCCTTTTTAAATTGGGAAAATAATTTGCTGCATTTAAGAGATTTTTTTGTTAAAAGTATTATTTCACCAGGACACTACTGGTGAAATTGGAACTGGTATTTCACGGCTTCCTGAGGTCTCTAAAAAAACAGAATACTGGAATAATGTTCCTGAAGAATATAAGCACTTTAATTTTAATGACCTGCTTAACAACAGACTGGAGTTTGAACATTTCCGTCAGTTTCTTGAGGCTCATTCTTCAAGGTAAAGAACATAAACATTTTAAAATGTATTTCTCTCTTTAAACATCCTTTTTCTAAGCTACTTATTTTTTTTAAGCTACTTTGATCCAATGTATTATAAAAGTGATTTGGTGCTAGATTTCACCCATGACAGTAAAAAGTAATGAGCATACCTATCTGAAATCTGTATGGGTAACTTTTTGCTGGGGAGTGCATTTTAATAATAGTAACCTCCCAAATGTTATTTTAAATAGTCAAACAAGATTTGTAGTAGTTTTAGCATTGGCTAAATAAAAACACCAGTGTGGTTTATTCTTTTGCTTTTCTACTGTTTCTTTCTTTCACATTTTTCTAGACAGGTGCTTTAATTAGTATTTCTGAAAAGTATCTCCTTTATATTTTTCTAAGCTATTGAAGTTTTACTGTAATACGTTGTAATTTTTATTAGCTAATACATAAATGAAACATTGTAGTTTTGCACAGAATCTTGGAACCTTATGACATATGTATCTAATATAAACTGAAATATTGATTATATATTTTTCTAATAATTTTCTCCCAAATTAGTAGAAAAGGTTTAGACCTGGAGCCAAATTGCACATACATAGTTTCCCTTCTTATTGATGAAAATTGTTGTGAATTTAGCATGTTGCCAAATATACATGCAGTAGGTAGAAATTATAGCAGATTTAACATCAACGATACGAGTCCATTGTTATAGGAGAAACTCTGAGGCCCTATCAAAAACAGTGGTAGATTCTTTTCTGATCCCAGTACTTCTGTGTTCATTCATATATTTAGCCAGGATGAGACATATTATTGAACTCATTAGTTTCATGATCTAAACAGTTCTGCTAACTAGTCAGGACAACAACTTGTTTGGTGGGTTAGTAGAATTCAGAGAAAAAAAATAAAAAGGGCTGTACTTTGTTTTTGTTTTCTTTTTAGTATGGACCTTATGTGCTGGACAGACATTGAACAGTTCCGAAGAATAGTTTATGGAGACCGAACGCAAAGGGAAGCAAAATCTATATATATTAAAAACAAATACCTTAATAAAAAATATTTCTTTGGCCCCCAAAGTCCAGCTTCTCTATATCAGCAGGACCAGGTATCAATATGTAAACATATTTTCTTTGTTGAAGTATGAAAACCAGTAATTTTTTAAATTTAAATTCAATTAGTTAACATATAGTATATTATTAGTTTCAGAGGTAGAGTTCAGTGATTCATCAGTCTTATATGATACCCAGTGTCATTACATCACATGCCGTCCTTAATGTCCATCACCCAGTTACCCCATCCCCCTACCCACCCTCCCCTCCAGCAACCCTTAGTTTGTCTCCTATGATTAAGAGTCTCTTATGGTTTGTCTCACTCTCTGATTTCGTCTTGTTTTATTTTTCCCTCCCTTCCCCTATGATCCTCTGTTTTGTTTCTTAAATTCCACATATAACTGAGATCATATGATACTTGTCTTTCTCTGATTGACTTATTTCGCTTAACATAATACCCTTTAGTTCCATCCATGTTATTGCAAATGGCAAGACTTCATTTTTTGATGGCTGAATAGTATTCCATTGTGTATATATACCACATCTTCTTTATCCATTCATCTGTTGATGGACACCTGGGCTCTTTCCATAGTTTAGTTATTGTGGACATTGCTGCTATAAACATTGGGGTGCAGGTGCCTCTTTGGATCACTACATTTGTATTAGTAGTACAATTGCTGGGTCGTAGGGTAGCTCTATTTTCAACTTTTTTTTTTTTTAAGATTTTATTTATTTATTTGAGAGAGAGAGAATGAGAGACAGAGAGCACGAGAGGGAAGAGGGTCAGAGGGAGAAGCAGACCCCCACTGAGCAGGGAGCCCAATGTGGGACTCGATCCTGGGACTCCAGGATCATGACCTGAGCCGAAGGCAGTCGCTTAACCAACTGAGCCACCCAGGCGCCCTCTATTTTCAACTTTTTGAGGAACCTCCATACTGTTTTCCAGAGTGACTGCACCAGCTTGCATTCCCACTAATAGTGTAGGAGGGTTCCCCTTTCTCTGCATCCTCACCAACATCTGTTGTTTCCTCACTTGTTAATTTTAGCCATTCTGACTGGTGTGAGGTCATTGTGTTTGAAAACCAGTAATTTATTTCTTTTTGCCAACAACCTGAAAGTCGTCTTTTTTGTCTTTTGCTTTCATGATTTATATGTTAGACATTTTGGATATCTTACTTTTTAAGCTATTTCTAAGTATCTACAAATTAAATGCCTTTAAAATTCACTCAAGTATACTATAAAACTATGTTATTTTAAAAAGTAGTTTATAGAGTAAAAATAGCTTTTATTCATCCAGTCATCCATTCATTCAGCAAATATGAGTGCCTGTGATAGATGGTGTCATCATTTATTATATTATTACTGTCATTATTACTATATGTCATTATTATACTATGTGGTGTTATTATTTATGGCAAAAAGGTCAGATTGGAATTCAGCAGTGCGACTAAGTGTTCAAGTAACAATTTTATCATGAAATATGGCTCAATTTTTATGCTTTTGAAATATAAAGAATTAAGTGTTATAATTAATTTGAAGTTTGCTAGTACCACATTACTACCTGGAGATCAAATGTGTAGTGTTTGATATCTTTATTTTGGTAGTTTAAAAGGATGCATATCCTAATGGTGTACATTTATAAAATATAAATTTCAGATTAATGCTAAATTCAGTAAATTAAAGAAAAATTCAGAAGTGTTCATAAGTAGGGTACACCAAATTAAAAAGTTAGATCTTCCAGGTGTAAAATAAGCAAAAGTTTTTGGGAATAAGAGGGAGAAGAAATTCTGAAATTAAGCAACCTTGACAAAATGCCTTGCCATCACATCAGTTCCCTGAGATACAAATCTGGGCTGTATTAGCAAAAGTGTTGGGTATCTCAATAAGCACAACTATGAAATAAACACATGGAAGACATTTGTTTTCTCTTTGGCTTGTGCTACATTGTATGAGGTTTTGTGGTATATGATGCTACTGTGTGAGCCCTCCATACTAGAACATGCTAAGAAGTTCAAATTCAGTGGAAAAAGTTACCCATTGCTATCATAGCAAATGATTGTGTTTACTCCAGAAGAGTTTTCCCAATGGCCTTTCTTCCTCATCTTTGGCTTTACTTTTATTTTTTGTTTACTTATTTTATACTTAAGCACATCCACATCACATTATGTTCCATGTAGATCTTGCTAGTTCTGATTTCAGTTGGGTGGCTAAGTTTGCTCTTTGACGAGCAAAGCAGTCTTTTCTCTTTTTCTTCTTTCTTCCTTTTTTATATAAAAAATCAGTATTATTAAAGGATGGCTAAGAGGGTTTCTCTTTTGTTTTTATGCAAAACAATTATTTTATTAGTAGGATTTGATTTATTTTATTATTCAAAGGGGAACTAAGAAGAAGCTAATTTTTCCAGTGAGGGGTCCAGAAGTTTTGAAAGGTGTATACACAGAAACAGGGAGAAAACAGAATGATTAAAGCAGGAAATAGCCATTCATAGCTTGTTGAAGCTGATACTTATAAGAAGGAAGATCTGGGTCACAAAGAAATTGTGTTTTGTAAAAGGTGTCACCTGTTCAGGTCAGAGACTGTTCTCTGTATAACCTGATCTCTCTCTATTTCTGCTGCTTCTGTTTTCTTCTGTGAAGTTGTTGGGGCAGCCCTGCATTGCTAGCCCCACCCTCATCCCACCAAGTTCAACCCAACATTTGTTTGTGTCTATTTAAAATTTCTGGGTCAATGTTGTCTCCTAACTAATTCATGCCCCAATTTCCCCATACGCAAAAGAAAATGCTTTCTCCAACTAGTCAGTTTGACCAGAATCACAGATTCATAGACTATTAGACCTGGAAGAGCACTTAGAACTCATAGACTAATAATTACCCCCATTTCACGGTTGAAGATGCTGAGGCCATGGAGAGAAAAATGGCATTGCTTGTGGTCACATGGGCTAAAAATCCCACTCCTGTGTTCTCTGAACTATATCATGAGCAAAATCATACATCTAAAACAACAATCAGATAAACCACAATTATCTGTTTGATGTTAGGGGAGTTATGTGTCTTTACCATCCACGGTATAGCCAGGAGATATCTTTCAGAAAATGACAGTTGTGCTACCTAGTGTGTGCTCAGCAAATGGTTTGGGGGTGAATGGATAAATTAATGACTATTAGTGTTTCTTCACTAAAACAGAAGTTTGCAGTTTTTCTGTTTCCTTTGTATTTTCTTAGATAATGAATTTAAGTGGTGGCTGGGGAAAGATGCTCCATGAGCAGCTAGATGCACCTGTTCTACTTGAAGTTCAGAAGCATGTCCTCAATAAGCTAGAAAACATGTGGTTGCCATTGTTTCTTGCAAGTGAACAGTTTGCAGCACGTCAAAAGATAAAGGTATATCAGCGTAATCTTTGGATAACAATCAGCAGTACCTCTTAAAACATCAAATGTGTCTACCCATTAGCCCAGTTATTGTACTTCTATGGCACAGTGGTTAAGAGCATGGAGTTAGCCTTCCCAAGGTTTGCCTCAACACTGCCATGTATTAACTGTACAACTTTAAGGTTTTTTGTTGTTTTTCTTTAAGTAAATATTTATTTATTTATTTATTTATTTATTTATTTATTTATTTATTTATTTATTTATTTTAACTTTAAATAATCTCTACATCGAACATGGGTCTTGAATTCATGACCCCAAGATCAAGAGTCTCATACTCTTCTTGACTGAGCCAGCCAGGCGCCCCTACAACTTTAAGTTTTATAACCTTTGTTTCCTCATTTGAAAAATAACTGGGGTTAAAAAGAGTAATTGCTTCATAAGATAGTTGTGAAGATGAAATGAAAGAATGTATGTTTAGTTTCTTAGCGTGGTACCTGGCACACAGCAAACACTCAAATATTACTTATTAATCTAGTTGTTATTTTTTATATTGTTATTAAGTCCTCATATAAACGGGCAAGGACGTACAAGGGGGAATAGTTAAATGCTTTATGATAATTCTGTACTATGAAGATTTCCATATAAAATGGGGTTATAAAATGAGATTAAAATATAAAAATGAGATTTCCACATGTACTGATATGAAAGATATTATTTCTTGAGTGAAACAAGCAGGATGCAGAACAGTATATAGAAGAGAATCTCATTACATGTTCTTATCCATATAAAATGGGGTTATAAAATGAGATTAAAATATAAAAAGATTTCCACATGTACTGACATGAAAGATATTATTTCTTCAGTGAAACAAGCAGGATGCAGAACAGTATATAGAAGAGAATCTCATTACGTGTTCTTATATCTCTATATCTATTTATGTATTTCTTTTTCCATCTATCTATCTATATTTGTGTTTATGAAAAAGGTCTAAAAGAATCTGCCCCCTGGGGAGTAAGAAGGATTTTTACTTTTTACTTTGTGAAATGGGGTGTTCTTTTGTTTTTATTTGTTTTTTGCTTTGTTTATGCTTTATAAAAAGCATGTGTTACTTTGATAATTTAAAATGTCATTGTCACACCAAAAAAAAAAGGCAAACCTGATCTTTACAAAAATAACATAAAGGGACAGAAGGTGTAATTTTGGACTTTAGTATGCAAAACACATGCCATTAGTGTTGATCAGGAAAAATCTAGAAGAACTGCCCTCTATATTGAATTTATCAAATACTTTGAGCCTTACTTATGTGGAAATATCCTTAGTCTTATGAGCACCTTAAGTTATGGAAAACACAATACAGCTGGGAAAATAGAATTTATAGTGTGAAGAAGTGCTCACTTGTTTTAGGCAAAGTTCCTGGAAATAAGCTTTGAGACAACTCAAATTTCCTCATTTCCTTTCTTTAGGCTTTGGCTTACTAATTTGAAACATTATTTACCATGTTTTCTCACTATGTTGACCACAATAACTTTATTGTAACTTATAACCATTTCCTGATTTACTTAGCGTTCTTTGGGTGGCCAATAACATAAACTGATTCTGGCAACCTTAAGCCAAAGACAAAAGAGAAAGGAGAGAATTTATTATAAAATGGTGCTAGAACATCTCACACACGGAGGGGAAGAGTAGACACCCAAGCTTTAGAAAGGCTAGGGGCTGGGACAGCCCTGGAAACCCAGCAGAAGTTCCTGGATCTTTTCTCCAGCTGTGGCTATCAAAAAGCAGCAGCTGTGATCCAATACTAGTCTCTCTAGGTCAATGCCTGGATCTATCTGCTGTGGACCGGGAGGTGGATTCATATAGCACAGATTTGGTAGGAGTGGTTCCCAAGGGAAAATATTATGAATAGGCAATAACCTCAAGAAATATCTACTATATTTCCTCCCTGCATTGAATAACTTCTGTGCTCTTTTTTTTTTCTTATGTTAATCCCCATACATTACATCATTAGTTTTAGATGAAGTGTTCCATGATTCATTGTTTGTGTATAACACCCAGTGCTCCATGCAGAACGTGCCCTCGTCAATACCCATCACCAGGCTAACCCATCCTCCCACCCCCCTCCCCTCTAGAACCCTCAGTTTGTTTTTACTTCTGTGCTCTTCTAAAATTAGTTGTGGCTGGGAAAATAGCACAAAAATTTGGGAACTCCTAATTGTCTCTCCAGCTTCAATTTCCATGGGACCCAAAGTGAACTATTATCCACATTTGGGGCAACACGCTTAGGTATTATTAGCTTCATTTTGCAGACGGGGAAACTGTTCAGAGAATTTGAGTGACTTGCTCAGGTACATAGGGAGGGCTTCCATTTCTAAGTCTGATCCTTTTTGTCCTAAACTGCATCATCTCTTTTCCATGCTGACCTTTACCTCATTTTTAAAAGCTATTAAATTAGGGGCACCTGGGTGGTGCAGTTGGTTGAGCGGCCAGCTGTTGGTTTTGGCTCTGTGATCTCAGGATGGTGGGCTTGAGCCCCATGTCGGGCTCTGTGGTCAGCACGGAGTCTGCTTGGGATTCTCTCTCTCTCTTTCCCTCTGCCCCTCATCCCACTCGTGCTCTCTCTCTCTCTAAAATAAATAAGTAAATATTTTTAAAAAATAAAATAAAAACTATTAAATTAGTAAATGATGTCAAAAAATGTAGACATTCTGAATAACTGGGATAAAATAATTGGTTTTGCTTTTAGGTACAGATGAGAGACATAGCCGAAGAGCTCTTGTTACAGAAGCATGAAAGGAAAATCGGGGTCTGGAAGGCAAGTAGTGTTTGTTATATTCTTCCTCTTGCAACTTCCACTCTGTCAAAGTATTACTTTTTTCCTCCCCTACTTGTTCAAAGACCCTCATTGTAGACACTGCGTTCTAAGCCACCGACTCTGTTTAATTGGCTGATGGAATCTGGGGGGGAGAGTGATTCTGCCAGAGCCCTCTTCTTAAAGCCCTCTCGACCTGCTAAACCCTAGAAGTGTGCTTTAAATATTAGACTTTAAATATGCATTTTTGTTTATTTTGCCTGTGATGGATTTATTGAGACAAGCTGTTCATTTCAGCATATGGTAATTTATTTATTACTGAGAGTGGATTGCACAAAAAAATAAGTATGCAACAGAATGAGCAAGTTAAATGATCTTGCATTATACTCTGTTGAGAATTACATTTTGGCTTTAAAAGAATTAAAAACTCATTCTGACAATTATTTAAACCACTATAATAGGATACTTTACTAGAAAATGCCTATTTTGCTTCTTAACAAGCATGATAAACACAGGCTTCTTTCTGAGCCTACAAATTTATATGTATTCATCCTTCTACAGGTCTTGCTGGAATGTCAGACTAGTCCCAGGTGACCCCCTACATACATAAAATTTTATTTGACTATTAGAGGATTATATGTATCTGTTAGGATGCTCTTTTTCTGTATTTTCCTCTTGAAAGGAAATAAACCATTCTATGGTTGTCTTTTGCTTATTTTTTTGTTGTTGAAATTCTAAGGAGGATGGGTTTATATTTCATATTATTGTGCATTATATATTATGGTTATTTTCTGTTTAAATTACTATGTTTTAGTATCTTAAGAAGCAGGTCTTAAAACATTATTTGCTGAGTGGGTTTTAAATAAACATCCCAGTCTAATACATAATTGTTCTTATTTATAGGGCTGTAATTTTAATATGGAACATATGGTGGGGTCTTAACTTTTTGACCAGAGAACACGACATGTGCCTCACTAAAACAGTGTTCGGCATCTAATCACTTTATCTGGGTTAAGGCACTGCTATTCACCTAGACTGCCTGGTGTTGGCTTCCCTTTTCAGTTTCCAATTCAGATGTCATCCTCAAGGACCTTTTGCAAAGCTTTTACTCCTCCAGGCAGAATGAGTTACTCCTTTTGTGTTCCCATAGTGCTTTTTACATAACTCTCTCAAACACTTATGCTGATAGTCGCATATGATTTGTTTCAAGAAATTTATTTTATGCATTGTCAGTAATGAATGTTTAGCATGTGTTTTGACTGATTGTTACTATAATCCCCAAATTCATTTAAAACATTGCCTTTGGAATGGTGCTTCTTTGCATGATTGTAGACTAAACTCAGATTTGGGAAACTTCAATAAAATTTATCCAGTAAAAAATTTCCTATTCAATAAATTCAATAAAATCTAGGTCTTATGTATTTTAATCTGAGAGGCTAAAGAGGGATGGCTGTGTGATCTAAAATGGTCAAAATTTAGAAAGTAGACATCTTGTATTTCAAAACTGTGAAGATACAAACTAAGTCATACTGTAAGCCTTACTAAAGCACCATGGGTCCTTCTGGCTTTTTTGTTATGTAAAATAAATCCTGTCAGTTTATTATTAAAAATAATGTATTAATGATTTTTCTTCTTGTTAGGAAGTATTAATAACAATTTTTATTAAAATAATATAAAGATGTCTCACCTGAAAACATGATATTTTTTCTAGTTAGAAGCTCCACAGCAAATTTACTGTTTAAATTAACAGGGTTAATTGGTAATTTTTTTTAAGATTTTGAAAAAATATCTTAAATGTCCTAGTGTTCTTACTTTTTAAAAGGCAGGAGAGTTATATTTAATATATAACATGATACATATATAATATATGTAGTTATAAAATACATAATAATGATGTAACAATATATAATCATAACATTATGGTTACATTTTTCTGTTTAAGCACAGAACTCTCGCAGTGCACTAAAATGTAGTTTTTCACCATAGTCCCAAACTGTAATGATTCTTAACATTCTTAAACAATGTGGTTATATGTTCTGAATCAGCCAATCATTTCTTTTTCTCTCTACCTCTTAAAAAAATGATGCCATAAAAATATAAAGGACACAAAAAAGAGAACAGAGAGGTAAAAGTTGCCAAATTCTATTGTATCCATGCCATAAATTTCAGCAGCCCAAAGTAAAGGAGGTTGAAGTTGGTAATTTTTAGCCTAATAAATAACTTTATTATTACTTTAGAATACAGCTAATTTTCTGTATTCTCTGCTTTGGACAGCCTGTGGAGAGTAAGTGGATATCTTCATCTTGTGAAATCATTGCATTTCGTAAAGCATTATTGAATCCAATTACTGCAAGACAATTTCAACGGTTTGTGGCTTTAAAAGGAGATTTATTGGAAAATGGTGTACTCTTTTGGCAAGAAGTACAAAAATATAAGGTATTATATTGGAAGTTGGAAAAAAACACCTTTTTTTGTGGGGGAAATCCATTAACACATCAGATTCTGAACTGTAACTTTATAGACAAGATTTGTATAAGATATCCCAATTTTGTCATCTTCAGACCAATATGTAAATATTGAGGTGTTCATTGTTCTAAGTTAGATACATTTCTTATTATACAGTGAAGAGTAAGAGTGAGCCCTGAAATGATAGAATTGGATTTTTCAACGTATTCACATATATTATGATTTAATGAGAACCTTCCTGAAGAGTGTTAATTACATTTTTGCATATCACTCCTCTATAAATGTACCATACACATTTTTTCCTGAAAACATCCATATTCAGTACTTTAACCAAGACCTCTTTACCAGAATTCTTCCCAACTGTATTGCCAGCAATGTAATCAAAGATAGAGGATTATAGAAAATAAACCAACAGAGATGAGAGGAGCTTTTCTATTAGAATGGCCAAACTTTTAACAAAACAAATAAATGAAAGAACAAGTGGTTAGGAGCAAAGGCAGTTTTAGGTTTAAGTGTTTATTGAAACCATATTTCATCTTTGCGTTGAAGAAAGGACTTTCTAGGTATTTTAATCTAGACTTGAATATGGGAGTGTTGTCTAGAAATACCCAAAAGTAGGCATCCAGACTCTGCTTCAGTTCTCCCCCAGGGAGCAGATTCATTTCTGGGCAAGCAGCCTATTTTATCCCATTATAAAGGTAGAGAATCAAAATAAAACTGGAATTTAAGAGGCTAATACTTTCAATTCACCTATAATCTAAGTATGAATTATGCAATACTAATACTCTGCAGCATTTATATTCTATATAGTTAGTAATTGTTCAATAAAATCTATTTCCAAACTTTCTCCAACTTACCATGAAGCTGTTTTCTACCTTTTCTGTGATGAACAATTTTTGTACTATTCTCACCTTAGAAATTTTCTCAGAAAAAAATGTTTTGAGATAAAATTTTTCAAAATTTGTCACAAGGTAAGCAATATTAAAATAATTTTTTTAAGAATTAGGAAGGAGGTGGAGTCTCTTTTCCAGAATAGGCAGTTATTATGAGTGGGCAGAATTATTTTTAAGCTACTATGAATATAAGTAAGTCCAACCCCACTAGGGCAGGAGGTAATGCAATAAACCTTGCACAAAAAGCATTTTAAAAAAACCTACTCCTTCAAAGTCAACCCTTAGCTGTGTGACTGTTTCTCCTTCAAGACTGCCCTTGGTCTTCATTTAAATATCTTGTCTGTGGCATAGAATGGAGGACATATAATTCTAGGTAACTAGTCAAAATCATGCTATAGGAGGTAATTTGTTCATTCTAATGTGCCAGCCATTATGCTAGATCATAGGAATAAAAATGTGAATACAACACATTGCCTGCCCTCAAGGAGGGAGACACCCAGGAAAACAAATATCATGACATAGTATTGATTATGATCCATGTTCTAACTAGGTATAGTTTTGGCACTGAGGAAGGAATGATGCAGAGAGGGTTGTAGGTCAGGGAAGTCTCGGCAGAGATAACATTTAACTGGGTCTTGAGAGAGTTTGCTAGGTGGAAAGCATTCTACCTGGTATGGCGAAATCTTACTGAGTTCACTTTTATATGGCTTACTCTTATTAAATGTTTACTATCTGCCAGATATTATCTTAATTCTTTTCATGTAACAATGAATTTATTCTTCAGAAGAATCCTATTGGGTCAAAGCTGTTATTCTTGCCATTTTACAGATGAAGAAGCTAAGGCACAGAAGGGTTAAGGAACTCCTAACATGATGTTAGTTGAGTGGTAGAGCTGGAATTTGAACCAAGACATTCTGTTGCTAAAGCTCATGCCCTTAACCACTAAGTTATGTTCCACCCCCCCCCCCAGCAGTGATTGTGGTAATATGCTTAGAAATTGAGATCTGGGTTCTTCCCAAATTTTCACAATTCAAAACAATATTTGATTAAGATTGTTCTGAATTGTGAAAAATTGGGAAGAACCCAGATGTTCAACAACAGGACATTACTTACTTAATTATTACGCATCTATAGAATAGAATACTCTGCAACCATTAGAAATCATGCTGTAGGTGGGTGCCTGGGTGGCTCAGTTGTTAAGCGTCTGCCTTTGGCTCAGGTCATGGTCCCAGGGTCCTGGGATTGAGCCCCGCATCGGGCTTCCTGCTCAGAGGGAAGCCTGCTTCTCCCTCTCCCACTCCCCCTGCTTGTATTCCATCTCTTGCTGTCTCTCTCTGTCAAATAAATAGATAAAATCTTTAAAAAAAAAAATCATGCTGTAGGAAAATAATCAATGATAGAAAAAGGTATTCATCTTATTGATTTTTTAGAAATGTAGCTACTAGAAAACAGTATAATTTAATCTAAAGTGTGCATGTATATGTGTGTGTGTGTCCATAGAAAAAAGACTGGAAGGATATATCCATCCAGCAAGTACTTATTGAGCACTTACCAAGAGCTATGCTAAATCCTGAGGATACGATCATGATCAAAATAGTCTTCCCTCCTAGAGCTTACAGTGTCATGGGAGGGACAGACAAGCGATAGACAAGACAGTCATTAAGACCATGATTAGAGGGCGCCTGGGTGGCTCAGTTGGTTGGTTAAGCAACTGCCTTTGGTTCAGGTCATGATCCTGGAGTCCCGGGATTGAGTCCCACATCAGGCTCCCTGCTCAGAGGGGGGTCTGCTTCTCCCTCTGACCCTCTTCCCTCTCTTGCTATCTGTCTCTCATTCTCTCTCTCTCAAATAAATAAATAAAATTAAAAAAAAAAAAAAAGACCGTGATTAGAACTGTGGTGATGGAAGCACAGGGCACAATGGAAGTACCTACTAAGATGGACATCTCTCCTGAACTGAGGGAGTCATCGAAAGCCTTCTAGAGGAAAATCTTTTTAAACTGAGACCTTAATGATAGGTTCTCTTGCTTCTCCTCCAGGAAGATTGAGCCTTTAAAGGGCAGGTACTGTCATGGGACTCAGCTGGTATTTAGCAAGCACCCAATACAAATTTGTTAAATGAGTCAAAGACATTGAAGCTGTTCCTTTGCCTAGGAGTAGAAGCACTCAAGATTAAGTGAAACATGTATTTATGTAAGGTATATGCATCAAAGTGTTAGATTCCTCAAACCCAAGAGAAATAGAAGATATGATTTTTTAAGATAGCCTTCACATGTTCTAGTGCCCTCTTGGCCTGAAGTTAAAGAGTATATATTACCAAAAGACATTTTGGCACAATTCTATAAAGTATTCTAGGAATGTATTAATCATATGTTGTTCTATCTTTCCTCCTTTTTCAGGACTTGTGCCATTCTCATTGTGATCAGTCCATCATTCACAAGAAGATCATGACTATTATCAACTGCTTTATTAATTCTAGTATTCCACCAGCTTTACAAATTGACATTCCAATAGAGCAAGCCCAGAAGATTATTGAACATAGGAAGGAGTTAGGACCATATGTGTTTAGGGAGGCACAGGTAAGAGATCAGGGCATGCAGCTAAGGGTATTTTATTATTTATTTTATTTTATTTAGCAGCTAAGCATATTTTAAAATAGATGAACAATCTAGATATTCTTTTAAGGTTTTTGCATTATTCATATTTGACAAGGTTCCAGCCTTCCTAATACTGAGATTTATTCTATTTAATTAAGAAATTTTTCAGGGGTGCCTGGGTGGCTCAGTTGGTTAAGTGTTGGGCTCTGGATTTGGGCTCAGATTATGATCTCAGGGTCCTGGGATTGAGCCCTGCGTTAAGTCTGTTTCAGACTCTGTGCTCAGCAGGAAGTCTGCTTGAGATTCATTCTGTCTGTCTGCCCACCCCCCACTCTCTCTCTCTCTCTAAAATGGATAGATAAATCTTTTAAATTTTTTGCATATTCCACAGATCATAAAAAACTAGTAACTTATTTTGTTGATAATATATAGCAAATACAATTATTTAAATACTATCTTTGACTCTCCATGATTATCATTTTTGTTTCTAACTTATACCACTCCAGCCAATTCCTCCTTCCTTTCCCACCATTCCTATTTCCTTTAGAAAATCTGCTATCACAAATATGTGGTAAAATATGTGTGTCCCAAGATTTGTGTATTTTTAAAGATTGGAATATTCACATAGCTCATAAAATAAGTGAGAGGAGATTTAAGTACACAAGCTCATGAAAGGAAAACCATGCCTGTTAACCTGCTCAAGTTACTTCTTTTTAAGATAAATAATAGAAAACAGCGATTTGATGAACATAATTTATTTGCATTTTTAAGAGCCTTTTAGTGATGTAGTTCCTGAAAAATGATTAAGAAAAATAAATTATAATGGGGGTAATAGGGAAGGCCATGTCATGATTTAAGTGATATAAAACAGAGATTTAGGATATGATTGCCCTTGAGCGTGGAAAAAAAGGCCATTATTCCTTAACATTCATTTGTGAGCCAGCTGTGTTCTAAGTCCTCTAAGGAACTGAAAATGGACTCACAATCCAAATTATGCATTAAAAGAAGTGAAAATATAGAGGAACAGTTGAGGATGTGCTAGAGAGAAATAGAGAAAACATGGTGCCAGAATTATAGTTATCTGTTAGTGAAAAGATCTTAGAGATCACTTAGCTTAGCCTAGGTCTCCGAATAATCAGACCAGGGCTTGCCCATCTAGATCAAAGACCTCGAGTCTGCAAGTGCCTGTCTGGAGCTGCTTATATTGGTTGGTTCTGCCAAACTATCTAGGGATTGAAGCCAGTGAATTCTATTGGAGTTCTCTAGTTTGTGCCCTCTACTTGATTTCCTAAAATGGAGTCCTAGACATGTCTTAAATATGGACTTCAGAGCATCAGAAAATAAGAGAATCTTTATATAGAGTCCTCACCCCACCAAACTGATGATTCCTCCTGCGTTTCCTAAGGAAGTTCAGAGAATAGCATCACCTTCTACCCAGGTATGCAAGCCAGAGATCTGGTTACCATCTTTATGTCTTTCTTCTCCTTTATTCCCTTAACCTCATATCTGCAGTCCCTAAAATTTATCCATTGGTCTTGTTATCTGTCATCCTATCTACTTTTCTCTGACTCTATGCCATTACCTCAGTTCACGTCTGCAATACTTCACATTAATTGCCAAACGTGCCTCTGAGCGCTCAAAACCATTTAACTCACTGCAGACAGAGCCATCTTTTTCAAAATGTCTATCTGATCATGTCACTTCTCTGCTTTCAATTTCAGTTATTCCCCACTGTCCTCAGAATGAAGACCATACTCATTTATCTCTTTTAGGCATATCTCTTACCACTCTCTGCTACCCATCCCCCAGTTTTACTGACATATCTGTACTTCCACAAACAAGCCTTACTCTCTTCCCTCCTGAGTTTTTTGCGTTATCATCTACTCTCCCTTGTGCTTCTGTAACATCCTGTATACGTCTGTGTTTATCACACAAAACTGAAAATGCCTATTTTCATGCTAGCTTTCCCACTAGATTGTAAGGTGTTTGAGGGCAGGGAATGTTTGTTATTTACCCTTGTGGCCCAGATGCCTGGCACAGAATAGGCATTTTTGAACACATAGATGATTAACATGAGAAGTGATAATTTGTGACAGAAAGGAGTAAGATCAAATTGGAAAGGAAAGCAAACTTGAGTGAAAGGGCTGCATAGTAGATAAAAAAGCCTGTTGCCTGTTCTAGTATTGTAATCCATATAGCCTCTGCCTGTCCCGCACTTGCACCCCTAATAGCTGTAAAGTTTTCTTCACTCAGCCAAATTTTCACTGGCCCTTTTGACTCATACTAACGCCATTGCCCATCTCCTGCCAGTGAGCAAAGTAGCTCTATAATTATTCAAACATTTTCTTACCTACAGTTTGATTTCTTTTAAGGTTCTGGAGGCACGGGGTAATTTTCATGACTAGCATATATGTTATTAACCTAAAATCTTAATTGCAACTTGTAGGAATAGAGCAGTTTTATGTCTCTTATTGAAAAATTGTGTTCTACTTGGGTGACTTTTACTGGAAGACTTTCTAGATTGAAATAAATATTTGAGAGCTAGGAATGACTCAAGTTTTGGAGAGATAACTGAGGTATAGGGTCAATAGTTGGTAAATAGAGGAGGAAGGGGGGGAGTATTTAAGTTTAAGAAGTTCATATAAAAACTACCATGATCCCTTGACATTGGAGCAAGGGCTTACTTAAATAAAGAAATGGCAGGTAAATGTAAATGAAGTTTTTTGAAAAGCCTACATTTCATCAAATAAAGAATCTCTAGCCTTTTTGTTCAAAATGCCAAGAAACTACAGAATTCAATGATAAAACTGTATTTTTTTAATTTAAATTCAATTAGCCAACATATAGTACATCATTGGTTTTTGGTGTAGTGTTCAATGATTCATTAGTTGCATATAAACTGTATTTTAAATCGAATAATTTTAGAATTACTAATAATATCCATATACAGAAAAGAGGAATAATGAAATATACCAACCAATTGAGGACTCTGTTGATCACTTCAGCACTTGCTTTTTAAAAATTCCTCTTTTCCCCTGAAGAGTTGGCTTGGAGCCTAATGGGATGGTTCATTTTTCTCCGGGGCATTAGGTAAAGGTCATTCCTAGCAACAAGATGTTGGACTTGATCTGATGTGGCAAGTCCTACCTTCTTGGAAGTAATGTATACCTCTGGAACTAATGGAAATACTTGGCATGGGAATTTGAGCAACAATTCTTATCTCTATAAATATCACAGTTAATCACTTAATGTAGAGTGTCCTCATAGAAAGCATTTGTCCAGGATACCACCCTGCTTCTTAAATGTTACTTTTCTTGCTCTCACATAAAAGAGATTATATCATTTAAAAGTTACTCAAGATTTATTCTTAGATATGCAGCTTTGTTTAAGAGCTTTTCCAGAGGTATTTCCTTTCTCTAAAAGAAAGAAAAGGGGGCAGAGAGGAGTTCCTCTTGATGGACTGAATATTTGGAATACTTGCATAAAACAGCAGAGTGTGTGGCAGATCAACTAGTGTATGTTTTAAAAGAAAACATAAATTTCTTATTTAAAAAGACCTAATGGATTCTTTATTAATACAATCAATTGGTTAGGGAAACATAAAGAATAAAGTAACTTCTAAGTGTATTTTTTTTTTAAAGAAAGACTTCTCATTGGTAGTAAAATACACTGATCACAAGCATGTGCTGAGCTAAACTATACCAAGATGTCTGGAGACAATAAGTTGGAGGAAACATGCTGTATATTAAAGATAGAATAGTTAATCCATTATTATGGTGAATTAGAGTTTAAATCGGTACATTTGTATGAAATTGTAACCCGAGACATTGTTTTTTATACAGATGACAATTTTTGGGGTTCTATTTAAATTTTGGCCTCAATTTTGTGAGTTTAGGAAGAATTTAACTGATGAAAAAATTATGAGTGTTTTAGAGAGAAGACAAGAATATAATAAGCAGAAAAAAAAATTGGCAGTCATAGAAGATGAAAAATTTGCAAAGGTAAGACAAAACTCATTTTGAGTTGAATCATACTTTTATTTTTTTATTTATTTATTTTTTCTTATGGTTTGAATCACACTTTTAAAAGGTATGTGCTGTGCATGAATTTAGAGAAGAATTTAGGCCAGAGAAAAAATACAGAGACATTATAGAATACAGATTTTAGTGGCTTTAATAATTTAGTTAGAGGTTTCAGACTTCATTTTGAATTTCTCAAAATTCATCTCGAATGTCACCTCTTCCCTGTGGAAGCTTCCTTGACCCTAATAGGCAACACAAGCAGCTCACATCCACTGTAGTAACATTCCTAACTCTCTTGGAGAATGCTTTATATAGCCTCATAAATAAGTTTTTGCATCTGTCATCCTCACTGGACTGAGATTCCCAAGGATAGTATCTGTCTTGTGCATCTGTGTATCATAGCACATAGACCAGTGTCCAGCATATGCTCAATTATTAATCACTGTTTACTGAGTAAGTCAGGAATAAAAAAAAGAATGAATGAAAAGATGTCATGTATTCATGGGAAAGCATTTTCAGTATTACAATTACAGAATAAAACATTGACTGTGAAATTTATAAATATGAATCATAAATTGCCCAACCTGCCTATTTGTCCATTTATTCATCCATTCATCTGTCTATCCCTATATTTATCTATTTTCTTTGAATTGAAAAAGGGTAACTGCATCTAACTAATTTATTTGTTTATAGGCTTATGCTTATTCTATTTTTTAAAAGAAATTTAAAAGTTGCTGAAAGATGCAAAAGTAATATAATGAATGCTCATATATACACAGGTCAAAATAAACACTGCTAACATTTTGCCTCTTTTTTTTTTCATCTCCTTAAAATACTGTAGAAAGAGTAAATACTGCAGAAAGAGCAAACTCTCTTAATCCCAGTTCTGCGTTCTGTTAACCTCCCCATTCCCAAGAGCAACCACTAAGCTTGGGATATATTCTTCCAGATCTTTTTAAAGATAGTGTTTTATACATGTATGTATACAATTTTGTAAATAATATAGAGGACTATGGAGGTTCTCAAAAAAAACTGCCAAACTTCTCCAAAGCTGCAGAAGCAGCTTGCTCTGCTTTGATGTTTGTATGGTGTATCTTTTTCTATTCCTTTACTACCTATACCATTATATTTCAATTAAAGAGCGTATAATTGGGTCACGGTGGTTTTTTAAAAAAATCTATTCTGCCAATCTCTGTCTTTTAATTGGTGTATTTAGTCTCTTTATCTTTAGTGTAGTTTTTTATATGTTAGTTAAGTCTGCCATTTTATTTCTTGTTTTGGTTGTTCCCCCTGTTTTTCATTTTATTCTGTTTCCTTTGTTGGCACTCCTATGGATTACTTGACTATTTCTTAGAATTTTATTTGGGTGTGTCTTTGTTAGATATTTTAGTGGTTGCTTTAGATATTACATTATAGATACATGACTTTCACCAGTCTATTAGTGTTGACATTTTGCCAGTTTGAGTAGTCTAGAAACTGCTCTCCCCCTTTAAGTCTTTTCCCCTCACCTGTTTATACTTATTTTAAATATTTCCTCAACATATACTGAGAACCACATCCCTATAAAGGGTGAGGTGGTTGAGGAAAATATAAGACATTTCAAAATGAGCAGAAAATGCCAGATGATATCCATATAAAGCCATCATAAGAATAAAACAGAAAATGAAAACGCCAACATTTTATAATTTTTGCTTCAAGCCTCAAACATAAATTAGGAAACTCAAGGAGAATAGAAAAATCTATTCTGTTAACCTATATTTTTGCTCTTTCAATTTTTCTTCCCTCCTGATATTCCAAGATTTATTATTTTATTCTTTCTTTTCCCTATAGGTAAAGTATTGTTTCGCACTTACTGCTTTCAAGATTTTTTCTTTGTCTTTAATTTTCAGAATTTGATTATGATATGTCTTATGTGGATTCCTTTGGATTTATTTTGGCTGAGGATGACTCGGGTTCTTGAGTCTATAGGTTTATATCTTTTGCTAAGTTTTTTTGGGGGATTTATATACATATTATATATGTGTGTGCATATATATGTATATATAAACTTTTAGATCCATATATCTGATTTATATACATATTATATATCATTTATATACATATATATGAATCAGAAAGAAAGTATATATAAATAATAGGTGCATAAATCCTCTTATCTATTCAATCAAATTTCTTCTCCCTTGAGTACCTTATAGCTTCACTTTTGAGAGATTTTTGTCTTTTTCTTCAGTCTTATTTTAAGTCCAGTAAACTATAATTTTACATTTCCTTTTTATATTTTTGGTCTTTTTCTGGCCTGAGTTTCTGCATTTATGATTTGGAGTATTATTTTATATATGCAAGTATTTGTATACGAATATTTAGTTAATTTATTTTATAGTTCTCCTCTGACTCATGACTGGATTTCTTGGACCATACACTCAGCAACTCAAATGTGTACACAACATCATTTATAATAGTAAAAAATTTTTAATGACTTAAGTTTCTAATAGCAGGCATTGATTAAATTATCTATGGTACATACCTTTACCAGGCTATTATTCACCTGTTGAAGTGATGATATAGTTTATTTTTTTATCATTCAGGATTTGCGTGCATAGGACAGTTCATCATGGGAAATAATAATGTATTCATTTCATCATTCAAATATTCGTGTGTATACTATATGTTGTATGGTAGGCATACTGGTGATTGATAAAAAGACCCTCCCCCTTTACATTCCCATTCTACTTTTATTCACATAGAAACATTTTCACAACATTTAACATGAAAAGGATATTTCAAAAGAGCACATATAGTGTAATTCCATTTCATGAAATTTATGTAATAAAATATAAGTATTAAAATTATAGATTATATCTATGTCTTTCTCTGGTAAGAATTTTGGATGGATGTTTATGAAATTGTTTACAATGGTTTTCCTTAGATGCCAGAATTTGGGAGTGATTTTTATGTTCTTCATAATTTATTATTTATTTAAAATATTTTTATATTAGTATGAAAGAAAATTAAAGAGTTCATAAATTATGTCACATTAGTAATATTGACTTGATGAAACCACAGGTGTGGTACTCACCACAAAACATGTTTTCATTTAATGTTGTGACTCTTTTACTGTAAGTTTATACTAATATAGTTTTATCCATTTTTTGGAATAACTTAATTTAAAATAATTACAGGATGGACTCAAACAATATGCAAGTTCTTCAGGATCTGCTATCAAAACAGTTACTCTAGCCACTGACCCAGTTTTAGGCATACAAGCATATGGTCGACAGGTAAGCAGTTACAGGTGTCACAGATACCACTTCTTCTATAGTAGAATGCAGTCACTCAATTATTTTACAATAGTAGAGGTGTGCTTGTTTGAAAATGAAGGTAAAATTATGCGAGAGATTGGAAGGGAATTTCCTTGAGCCTTCGGAGAACATGAAAATTTCAGCTGATCTTAGACAATATAATCAACAAAAATACTTTTTGATACATATGAAGAAGATTTAAGAGGCAGCAGTTGAAATGACTATCTTATTGGAAAAGAGAATAAGGCAGATAGAGAACAAGATAGAATACATTTGGTTGATATATTCTTGGGTTAAAAAAAGAAAGAAAAACATCAAAGGCTCCATCTCAAGTTTTTAATCCTTTGAAGTGGTCATAAAATTGGCCAGTACATGACCATCAACAATACATGTTAATACATTCACAGTTTTTATGTTTATATTTACATGTATAACTTGTACATTCCATGAAATTTCATAAGTTTATGTCCATTTTTAATGACTTGTATCAAAAGCATTTGTGTCTTAGGATAACACTAGCTCAAGAAACAATCTTTTTGGCATTTAGGAATGTCAAACAAATTCAGCCACTCAGCTAAGATAGATTGATAAACTGTAAAACTGTTATTGAGAGAAGGGAAATATCCAATTTTGTGACACCATATTTTGAAAAAGGTAATATCTAAATGTGTGTGGGTATGTAATAATGCCACTTGGAAGAACATTCATTAGCAAATAACAAGCATTAAATTTCAGAAACATGGTGTAAAAATAAAGGGGGAAATGTGGAATTTGAGATAGCAGGCTTCTAATTTTCACTGTCATTTACAGTATTACCTGGAAGCCTGAAAAAAAATCACAGAATTTGCTTTGAGCCTGTTAAAAGGAGAAAGGGAGAGAAAAGGGGATGATGATGATGGTGGTGATCTCTTGTCATATATCTCAAGAGTTTTGTAAGAAACTAAAAACCTTTTGGAAACCAAATATATATATATAACAATATATTATTGTTGTTGCTATTGAAGGAATACATGTGAATTATTCCAGCAATTGGTAGAGTAATAATGCACTCCACATTTTGCAAGTGTGGATGCTCTGTATATGCATTTGTTTCAGATAGATTTTGCACATTTAAGAATTGCAATTAATCCAAATGCAAAATACCCCCCCAAACTTGGATCTCTCTTAAGCATCTAAATTCATAATCAAATTAAATATATAGGTGTCTGCATAGCTGTCAAGAAATCTATAAAGCCTTTGTAACATTGATTCATTGAGAAATAGTTATAACACATATAATTACAGCACATCATTGAAGAGTTATATTCAATGATCTGTTATTGAAATTTGTTATACTGCAATAAAAGGTTTAAATGAAGAGGCTTATATAAGTCATCTTACCTTCAGTTTATTTCCTGGGGCAAACATTTCCAAAATTAAGTTTGAAAATTGTCTTTCTAGCCAACCTGGTGCTACTCCAAGTACATAGAAGCCTTAGAACAGGAAAGGGTTCTTCTTAAAATTCAAGAAGAGCTGGAAAAAAAGTTATTTACAGGTAATTTTTGCTTTTTGCCTACAGGATTGCTTTGTTACCTTCTACCATGGATTAATTGTAGAGGACTTTGCTGCTGATTACTTCACTGTTTTCCTTCTTTCTCTTATTTTTGTGCAGCTACACCATCTTTTACAAATTTTAAGTCTCCTGCTTCAGCCATGTCTTTGAAAAAGACCATATCTTCCCACAACATCCAGAGTGAGTTTTCAGTGATAGTCTACCTGCAGTTCTTTCTTCCTTGTTAGAATTCAGCCTGCCATGAGGCCATCGGCATAGAGACAGCAAGAAGGGATGAAGACTGCTTTCCTCCTAACTGCTCTGAACCACAACTTTGGAGAATTTCAGTATATGTGTGTGTGTGCACGCGTGTGTGCGCGTGTGCATGTGTCTGTGTGTGTGTGTGTTCTGTTTCCCTTTCTGTTTTTTCTCCTCTGCTGACAACCTAACACTCCATCCCATTTTTAGAGTGATGGTACTCATGTGGGTATATAACCTGCTGCTGCTAGATGCAAGGTAAGTCACAGACTGAAAGTTGTTCAGTACCATCCATGTCCCTCTGACACACACACTCATGCACATACACAGCTGCACACACACACACACACACACCACTAACCAACTGATGCGTAAGAGTGAGCACCTTGCCTCCCTTCTAAGTGGCACAGTCCCCTGAAAAGGAACGCTTCCAGGGAATGATGATTTATTGTTTTTATTTACTCCTTATCTATTCTTTTCTTCCACAAAGAACAACAGAAGAATAGGCTCTAGCTCAGTTTCCCAAGTTTTTCCAAGCAGATACTGATAGGATTATACGGTTTTGACTGGCTGCTCAGGGAAAGGCTTCAGTGCCTTTACAAAGTAGTATAGGAAAACATGTGGTATATGCGTGACCCATGGAGCCGGTATTTGAAGAACCCAGTAAAGGTCCCGTTTCTCTGATCTTCTGTCTTACTGCTTAGCTTTTTGTGGATTTGGGTTTTCTGGTTCTCGGGAGGGTTTGATGAGCAGGCCTTTATGTTCTTAGCCTGTTCATCTTTTTTCTCTCTTGGTTTATCCTAGCCACTGTACCCTTCTGCAAGTTCCCCAACCCCTTAGGCCGCCCTCACAGTGCCTCAACCTGGAGGGTTTGCTGACATATCTGTTCATTTTTTTGATCCTTATTACAACTCTTTGTAAGTTTTTTGTTTGTTTTCGATTTAGATTTTCCATAGCTGCTTCTGTTTTCAACCATTTATTTTTCTCTTGCAGGAATTCCTTAAGCCAAATTTAACTGACATGGAAGCTCAAGTGATTTTTTTTGATGGCCTGCATTAGAGCAAGCTTACCATCTAAATAAAATTTGGCATGTTGTACTCTCATAGTTTTAAAATGATAGCTATTCTGTACACATGACATACGAGACCATAAAATTTTTAAAAACTTATTTAGAATAAAATGACTTCTGTCTAGGTTAGAAGAATCAAAATGGGTTGCTAATCACAGAACTTCATTAAGTACCGTGTTATGCTCCTCAGGTAATCTTTCAGTAAGTGTTCTTGGAGCATTGACTCTATCTCGTTAGCAGATATAATCAGCAGGGGGCTAGGGGCAAATACTCCTAGCAGTACATTGACCCAAAACATAAAGAGAAGTGACTTCGAACCCCATCCCTTTCCCCAGCTCTGAAGGAACCGAGTATTAAAGCAGTGGTCCTCAGATGCAGACTTTAGCATGTGCAAGAGTTACTTGTGGCATTTGCCAGCAGGGCAGATTTCTGGGCTCGCTCTCCGAGAGTCTGATTCAATAGCTCTTGGGCGAAACCCATGAATGTCCCTCTTTAACAGATGTCCTAGGTGATTCTGATAGAGCAGCTCCCCGGATCACTCTTTGCAATGAACTGTGAGGGTGAACGAGAAGAGCTTGAAAAGGTAAAAGCCCCCTTATTTACTGGGGTTACACGTGTATCAGAGAGAGCCCAGACACACACCGTCTTCTCCTCTTTCCCAGAGAGAAAGGAGAAAGTGTCAGAAATGATGCGGGAGCATGAACTTCACCAGCTGTAGGCCTTGGGACGCCGACGCTCTAAAGACTGTGACCTGGATTACCGGATGGGAAGCAACAGACTTCCTCTCTCTCAGAACCCGAGAGTATTTTCAAAGTAGAAATTGCTATTCCTGATTCTCTAAAGAGTTTTGAAGAAACATTTTAAAGGGGGGAAGCATCAGGAGGCACGCTTCAGATAGAGATTTTCTTCTAAAGCGGTGGTTTGGACACTTGTTACAGCTTGGAAGCCCTGTGGTTTCCACACCCTGGGGTGGCCGTGAAGCGTGTAACATTTCTATGCTTTGCACTTGATCTTTGTTTCTTTCTTTTCTTTTTTTCCTTTCCTTTCCTTTCCTTTCTCTTCCTTCCTCCCTTCCTTCCTCCCTCCCTCCCTCCCTCCCTTCCTTCCTTTTTTCTCTTTTTTTCTTTTTGGTATTCTACTCTTTCTCTGCCTTCCTTTGGTTTTAATTGAACATTTTATAGGATTCCATTTTCTCTCCTCTCTTAGCACGTCAATTATACTTCTTTTTTTTAAGTAGTTGCCCCAGAGTTTGCAGTATACATTTACAACTAATAAAAGCCTGCTTTCAAGTACTACTGTACCACTTCGTAGGTGGTGCAGGTGCCTTAGATCAGAGCATGTCCTCTTGCTCCCTCCTGTCCCTTATCACTTTGCTGTCAGTTCATTTCACTTGTCCCTAAGCTATAATCACTGAATACATTCTTGCTATTATTATTTTAAACTGTTTTCTGTTAGGTCAATTAAGAATAAGAAAAATAAAACATTATTGCCCCTTCATTTATTCCTTCTTTAATGCTCTTCCCTTCTTTATGTAGATCCAAGTTTCTGACCTATTATCATTTTCCTTCTCTCTGAAGAACTTCTTTCATCATTTCTTGTAAGGTGGGTCTACTGGAGACAAATTCCCTCAATTTTTGTATGCCTTGTAAAGTCTTTATTTCTCCTTCACTTTTTTTTTTAAAGATTTTATTTATTTATTTATTTATTTATTTGAGAGAGAGAGAGAGAGAAAAACAGCATGAGAGGGGATAGGGTCCGCTGAGCCGGGAGCCCGATGCGGGACTCGATCCCGGGACTCTGGGATCATGACCTGAGCCGAAGGCAGTCGCTTAACCAACTGAGCCACCCAGGCGCCCTCTCCTTCACTTTTGAAGGGTAATTTCACCGTATACAGAATTCTAGGTTAGTGGTTTTATTCTTGCAACACTTCATATATTTCACTCCACTCTCCCCGGGCTTGCATGTTTTCAGAAAACAAACAGGGTTCTGGAGGGGAGGGGGGAGGGAGGATGGGTTAGCCTGGTGGTGGGTATTGAGGAGGGCACATTCTGCATGGAGCACTGGGTGTTATGCACAAACAATGAATCATGGAACACTTTATCTAAAACTAATGATGTAATGTATGGGGATTAACATAAGAAAAAAAAAAAAAAGAAGAGAAACCAAAGAGAGTTCTTATCTTGTTCCCCTGGCTTCTTTCAAGATTCTCTTTGTGACTTTGTGCAATTCAAATATAGTATGTCTAGGTGTAGATTTTATGGTATGCATCCTGCTTATGTTCTCTGAGTTTCCTAGATCAGTGGTTTGGTGTCTGTCATTAATTTTGGAAAATTTGCAGTCATTATGACTTCAAATGTTGCTTCCGTTCCTTATCTTTCTTCTTCCGGTATTTCCACTATGCACATGTAGCACCTTTTGTAAGTGTCCCAAGTTCTTGGATATTCTGTTATTTTCCACTTTTTTTTTCTCTTTGCATTTCAGTTTTGGAATTTTCTATTGACCTTTCTTCAGGCTCACTGATTCTTTCCGTAGCTATGTCTAGTCTGTTGGGAAGCCCATCAAAGGCATTCTTCATTTACATTACAATGTTTTTAGTTTCTAGTATTTCATTTAGATTTTATCTTAGAACTTCCATCTTTGCTTATATGACCCATCTGCTCTGACATCCAGTTTTTTAGTAGATCTCTTAACATAATCATTTTACATTTCTGGTCTGATAATTTCAAAATCTCTGCCATATCTGAGTCTGGTTCAGAGGCTTGCTTTATCTTTTCAGACTGTTTTTTTTTTGTTGTTGTTGTTTCCTTGTCTTTTAGCATGCTTTGTAATATTTTATAGAAAACAAGACATGATAAAAGGAACTGAGGTTATATGGGCCTTTAGTGTGAGGTTTTATGTTTATCTGGCTAGGCATTAGGCTATATTTACTGTTTGCTGTGGCTGTGGGGTTATAGGCTGAAATTTCCCATATGTCCTTGTTTTTGTCTCCTCTGTTGTTTTGGGTTTTCCTGGAGACTCCTTAATAGGTCCTGAGGCTTGCAGTTCTTTTAGCTGCAATCACAGTTATTACACCAGAACCCTGTTGATGTGGTAAAGTGTAGGAGGAGGGGAAGTGTTTTACATTCTGATGGTTATATGTCAGTCTTCCGGTGAGACTGAGTTCAGTATTTCCCTTCCCCCAGGTCATTTAGGCTTTAGTAAAACCCCAGTCCATTAGGATCTGGTAAAATAGTTTCTCTTGAGGGCAGGCCTTGTTAGGAAGAGAACTCTGGGTGTATTCCAAAATGTTTTCTTTACCACTCCCCCGACCAGAAGCAGAGGGGATTTTTTTCTCTGATCTTTACAGTGAAAACCTGGTGGAGCTACTGGAAGTAAAACCCAAGAATGTGGACTGCCCCCCCCCCCCCCCCCCCCCGCAAAGACAGGGCCCCTCTCAAGCTGGTCTGCCCTGAGCCTGGAGCAAGTCACCATTTACAACAAAGAATTTCTCCCAAAATTAACTCCAGCTGCCGGCTTCTGCTCCTGGTAAGCTCTGATTCTCTGTATCTGCCTGTCTTCCTCTCCAGCTTTAAGGGCAGCGGTTTGCCCTCTTACCACAGTTCTTTGAAGGATCCAAAGAGAATTGTTGATTTTCGGTTTGTTCAGCTTTTTTCTTGTTGAAGACAGTAGTGATGACTTCTAAGCTCTTTAACACGTTGGATGGGACCCTCGAGTTTGACACCAGTATTTCAAAATATTCTGTAGTCAGTTTTATTTTTAAGATAAAACTAAGAAAAGTTAAATTATTTACGTTTGTATTGTGTTATACATATATATATTAAATTGATGGCAATTTTTATATTATAAATATTTACATGCTCATTTTGGCCTACTCTCAAAGCATCCTCCAGCATGCGCTAGTCTCAACTTTTTAGCACTAGAGACAATTTCATTATATTAGCATGCTCAGGAAGTATCTTCCGACTGTGCTTCTACTGATTCTTCTTAACATCTCTTCATTCATCTCCTCCTTCTCCCAAGCCTATTGGATGACTGCCTTGTTCCAGATTCTTATCACCTTGAATCTGAGTCCTAATTAGTATCTCTCTCTTCTGCCTGACCATCCTCCAACTGTGCTCAGTGATTTTTTTATAAAATCATACCTTCTTATGACATTACTTTGCCTAAATCCTTCGTTAAGATGGTCAGTGGGGCACCTGGGTGGTTTAGTCGGTTAAGTGTCTGATTCTTGATTTTGGCTCAGGTCATGATCTCCTCATACTCAGTGGGGAGTCTGCTTGGGACTCTCTCCGTTTCCCTCTGCCCCTCCTCTCTCTCTAATAAATAAATAAATAAATAAATAAATAAATCTTTTAAAAAAAGATGACCTGTTAGTGATAGTTCTCTTTTTTTTTTTTTTTTTTTTTGAGAGAGAGAGAGACAGTGTGTGTGCAAGGAGGGGAGAAGGGCAGAAGGAGAGGGAGAGAGAGAATCTTAAGCAGGCTCTGACTCTGAGATCATGACCCAAGCCAAAATCAAGAGTTGGATGTTTAACCAACTGAGCCACCCAGGTGCCCCAAGAAATTCTTTACTTAGCATGACATATGTGTAAGTCCCTTCTGTCTTCTGATATAAATATTCAGATCAGGCATTTGTTTTTCTGGGAAGCTATCTTTGATATTCTTCTCTTACCCTAGACCACACCCCCCCCGCCAACAACTACAGAAATTATCACTCCCGCTTCTGTCTTACCACTCTGTGGCTGATTTATTCCTCTATAATAACCCTTGTCATATGGATTGTAATTTTTTGTTCACATGCCTGTTTCCCCAATAAAGCTGTTATTTGAACTTTCGTTCCCAGCACCTTCATAAAATATCTAGAAAATAGATGTTCATTAAATATTTGTTGAAAAAATGAAGGAAATGTCTCCACTGTAAAAATCACAGGAAGGTAAAAATCACTGCATATGTAAGAAAGGTTGATATAATGCCATTCACAAAAATTTGCCATTAGTATTTTTATAATGAAAATACATAATAATGTCACAATTTCATGGAAAGTATATAATCTTTGTTCTATCCATATCATTTTTCATATTTATGAAAATACACCTGTGTGTCATCATGTCTTTCAGAGAAGAAATTAGTGCTTATTAAATCACATTAAATCACTTAAGTTACTTAAGGCCTGGGTTTCTCAAACTTGACACTATTGACATTTTTGGCCAGCTAATTCTTTGTTGTGGAGGGCTATCTTGTGCAGTGTTGGATATTTCACAATATCCCTGGCCTCTATCCAGTGGAGGCCAGTAACACCTCCCCAGTTGTGACAACCCAAAATATTTCCAGACGTTGCCAAATCATACCTAGTTGAGAACACTGCTTTAGACTTTGGAACATTTTTATGTTTAATTTTTTGAGATCTCTACTTACAATGGAACCTTTAAATTCTAGTTCCCCAGCATATCCTTTTTAAAAAAGTATCATAGTACCTAGCCCCATAACACCACCAATAGTGCCTTCCAAGAAATGCCTTATTTGTTTTAGTGGTATCTATATTACATCCATTTGAATAATTTCTCTTTTTTTACATCATCTTTGGAAGTGTAATGCCTAAAGGAAATGCTCAGTCAATATTTGTTGAATTAATAAAACTTAAATTCCTTACTTACATTTAATGTAATATATATGTTAGGTAATCTTAAAAGTACCCTTAAATCTGACTTGGGTTTGTACAAATAAATAAATTAATTCTAATTGTGCTAACTTTATATCTGATGTGCTTCTTGATTTTATGAGTTGAGTTGAGTTCTCGTTAAAAAAAGCTTACTTTTGGAAGAGACTCAGGTTTTAAAACACACAAATTACCATGTATACTTTGTCAACTTTTACCCTCCAAAACATGGGAAAATTGATCTCATACTTTGTTTACATTATTGTTTGGGGTGAATAAACATATTTTGAAATAAAAATAATAGTGAAATAATCCAAAAGTAATTTGGCCAAGTGGGTCAGATTTCAGCTTGTATGTATTATTTTCTAATAAACAGATTTAGTATTAAAGGTATAATCTAATTCATGTTATTTCTTAAATGTGTATCTTTATCATTTGTCATATAATTGAAAATTACTTGACAGTACATTATCTGTGAATAATTGTGTTTTTTTCTTAATTGGCATACGCTTTAAAAAAATTTTTTTATTAACATATAATGTTATTTGTTTCAGCGGTACAGGTCTGTGATTCAACAGTCTTACACAATTCACAGTGCTCACCATAGTGCCTACCCTCCCCAATATCCATCACCCAGCCACCCCATCCCTCCCACACACCTCCACTCCAGCAACCCTCAGTCTGTTTCCTGAGATTAAGAGTCTCTTATGGTTTGTCTCCCTCTCCGGTTTCATCTTGTTTCATTCCCCACCCCCTTTCCCTATGATCCTCTCTCTTGTTTCTCAAGTTCCTCATATCAGTGAGATCATATGATACTTGTCTTTCTCTGATTGACTTATTTCGCTTAGCATAATACCCTCTAGTTACATCCACGTCATTGCAAATGGAAAGATTTCGGGGTTTTTTTTTTTGCTGCCTGCATAATATTCTATTCCATTGTGTATATATATACCACATCTTCTTTATCCATTCATCTGTTGAAGGACATCTAGGCTCTTTCCATAGTTTGGCTATTGTGGACATTGCTATAAACATTGGGCCGCACGTGCCCCTTCGGATCACTACATTTGTATCTTTGGGGTAAATACCCAGTAGTGCAATTGCTGGGTAATAGGGTAGCTCTATTTTCAACTTTTTGAGGAACCTCCATACTGTTATAAGTGTTATAGAAGACAAAATTATGGAAAATAGTGAAGCTGAAGAGAAGAAGAAAAATATTGGATCACAAAGGTAGGCTTAGGGAACTCAGTGACTCCATAAAGCATAATAACATTTGTATCATAGGAGTCCCAGAAGAAGAAGAGAGGGGAAAAGGGACAGGTTTATTTGAGCAAATTATAGTGGAAAACTTCCCTAATCTGGAGAAAGAAACAGACATCCAAATCTAGGAGGCACAGAGAAAGCACATCAAGATCAACAAAAGCAGGCCAACACCAAGATATATTGTAATAAAATTGGCAAAATACAGAGATGAGGAAAAAATCCTAAAAAATCCTAAAAGCAAGGGAAAAGAAATCCCTAACTTACAAGGGAAGACAAATAAGGTTAGCAGCAGACCTCTCCACAGAAACCTGGCAGGCCAGAAGAAAGTGGCATGATATAGTCAACATGCTGAATGGGAAAACTATGCAGCCAAGACTATTTTATCCAGCAAGGCTGTCATTCAGAGTAGAAGGTGAGATAAAGAGTTTCCCAGACAAACAAAAACTAAGGGAGTTTGTGACTATTAAACTAGACCTGCAAGAAATATTTAAGGGGACTCTTTAAGTGGGAAAGAAAGACCAAGAGCAACTATGACTAGAAAGGAACAGAGAAAATCTCCAGAAACAATGACTTAACAAGTAGTACAGTGACACTAAATTCATATATATCAATTATCACTCTGAATGTAAACGCACTAAATACTCCAACAAAAGACATAGAGTAGCGGAATGGATAGAAAAACAATCCTATCCATATGCTGCCTGAGTAAGAGACTAATTTTAGACCTAAAGACACCTGCAGGTTGAAAGTGAGGGAATGGAGAACCATCTATCATGCTAATGGACATTAAAAAAAAAAAAAAAAAAAGCCAGTGTAGCCATACTTATATCAGACAAACTAGATTTTAAACCAAAGATGGTAACAAGAGATGAAGAAGGGTACCATATCATAATAAAGGGGTCTATCCAACAAGAAGACCTAACAATTGTAAATATTTATGCCCCCAACTTGGGAGCACCCAAGTATATATAAATCAATTAATGAAAAACATAAGAAACTCATTGATAATAGCATAATAATAGTGGACCTTTAACACTCCACTCACAGCAACGGACAGATCATTTAAGCAGAAAACCGACAGGGAAATGATGGCTTTGAATGACACACTGGACCAAATGGACTTAACACACATATTCAGAACATTTCATCTTAAAGCAACAGAATACACATTCTTTTCAAGTGCACATGGAACATTCTCTGGAATAGATCACATACTGAGTCACAAATCAGGCCTCAACCAATACAAAAAGATTGAGAGCATACCATGCATATTTTCAGACCACAATGCTATGAAACTTGAAGTCAACCACAAGAAAAAATTTGGAAAGACCACAAATACATGGAGGTTAAAGAACATCCTACTAAAGAATGAATGGGTTCACCATTCTTCTTAAAGAAGAAATAAAACATACATGGAAGCAAGTGAAAATCAAAACATGATAGTCCAAAACCTTTGGGATGCAGCAAAGGCAGTTCTAAGAGGGAAGTATATTGCAATACAGGCCTACCTCAAGAAGCAAGAAAAGTCTCAAATACACAACTTAACCTTACACCTAAAGTAACTAGAAAAGGAACAGCAAATAAAGCCTAAAGCCAGCAGAAGAAGGGAAATAATAAAGATTAGAGCAGAAATAAATGATATTGGAAACAAAAAAACCCCAGTAGAACAGATCAATGAAACTAGGAGCTGGTTCTTTGAAAGAATTAATAAAACTGATAAAACCCTAGCCAGACTTATCAAAAAAAAAAAAAACCAAAAACCAAAAAAAAGCATGCATGCGAGAGAGAAAGGACCCAGATAAATAAAATCATGAGAGAGGATAGATCACAACCAATACCACAGAAATACAAATAATTATGAGAGAATATTATGAAAATTTATCTGCTAACAAATTGGGCAATCTGGAAAAAATGGACAAATTTCTAGAAACATTTAACTACCAAAACAAACAGGAAGAAATAGAAAATTTGAGCAGACCCATAACCAGCAAAGAACTTGAATCAGTAATAAAAAATTTCCCAACAAACAAAAGTCCAGGGCCAGATGTCTTTAACAAGAGAATTCTACCAAACATTGAAAGAAAGGTTTATATCTATTCTTCTCAAACTGTTCCAAAAAATAGAAATGGAAGGAAAACTATGAAGCCAGCATTACCTTGATTCCAAAACTAAAGACTCCACTAAAAAGGAGAAATAGAGGCCAATATCCCTGATGAACATGGATGCAAAAATTTTCAACAAGATACTAGCAAATCAAATCCAACAGTATATTAAAAGAATGATTCACCATGATCAAGTGGAATTTATTCCTGGACTGCAAGCATGGTTTAATATTCACAAATCAACCAATGTGATATACCACATTAATAAAAGAAAAGAACCATATGATCCTCTCAATAGATGCAGAAAAAGCATTTGACAAAGTACAGCATCCATTCTTGATAAAAATTCTCAACAAAGTAGGGCTAGAGGGAACATACTTCAAAATCATAAAGGTCATATATAAAAGACCCACAGCTAATATCATCCTCAATGGGGAAAAACAGAGTTTTTCCTCTATGGTCAGGAAAAAGATAGGGATGTCCAATCTCACCATTGTTATTTAACATACTACTGGAAGTCCTAGCCTCAGCAATCAGACAACAAAAAGAAATAAAAAGCATCCAAATCAGCAAGGAAGAAGTCAAACTTTCACTATATGCAGATGACATCATACTCTATGTAGAAAACCCAAAAGACTTCACCCAAATATTGCTAGAACTGAGACACAAATTCAGCAAATTTACAGGACACAAAATCAATGTACAGAAATCTGTTGCATCTCTATACACCAATAATGAAGTGGCAGAAAGACAAATCAAGGAATTTATCCAATTTACAGTTGCACCAAAAACTATAATTACTTAGGAATAAACC